TAATATATAGACACTTTATATGTATATGTTTTTACTGCCCCAAGCCCTTTCAGTACTGGAGATTGAACCCGGAGTCTGCAATGAAGTGTATTCCTATTCCTTTTTATTTTAAATTTTGAGACAAGATCTCATCTCAGTAGTTGCTAAATTGCCTAGCCTGGGCTCAACACTTGTATCCTCTCACCTCAAGCTACCAGAGCGCTAGGATTCCTGGTACACACCTCCATGCCTTTTACTTTTACCTCTTATTACAGACAATTTTAAATGTAAAAGTAGAGAAGATACCACTGTGATCCTTAATGTACCTGCTACCTAGTTTCTTAAACCATTTACCTGCCAATCTTATATTTTTGTTTGTTCTTTCCCCTTAAGATTGCTGGCGTGTTGGGCTGGAGATATAGCTTAGTGGCTTAAGCACCTACCTGCCTGGCAAGCACAAGGTCCTGAGTTTGATCCCCAGTACGAAAACAAAATTTTATATATATATATATATGTTTTAAAAGCATGTTTAGGTATATATTTTAACCGTAAGTCTTTTTTAGTTTCTATATCTTATGAAAGGGTCTTTTACAATAAACTATGACATCTTGATTAAAGTCAAAATTAATAAAAGTTCTATATTACCTTTTATTACCACTGTTTAGTTTTTCTTGTGTCCAAAGTGTGATTTCAAACAGTTTATTTGATTTAGGATCCTAACATTTCTCACATTGTTATTTTCACTTAAGTTTTTTTTTTTTTAATGGCAAAAAATTCTCTCCTTTTTAAGTGTGTTTTATTTGTTCCAGAAATGAGGTCATCTGCCTTGTCCCACATTTCAGGTTTAGCTGATGGCTTTGTGCCTTGTGCTATTTAACATGTGCTTTTTAGAATTTGCTTTAAAATGGAAGTCACCTCTAAAGGTGTAATGAAATAAATATATATATTTTTTTGTCAAGAATATCTCTTAGATGGTACTATAACCTTAAGAATGCCTAGAATTATAATTTAGTGATGGCTGAAAAGTATCTTTAATAAAGTCTATGATTCACCCATTCAGAATGTTAGTTCTTCACTTGGTAAGTTTCACTGACACTGATGCTCTTCCCCTTCACTGTTTTTAGATGTTGGAATATTTTGATTTTTTAAAAATTCCTTGACTATTTTGCTATGTCCCCCCCCCCCACCTTTTTGTCCTGATCAGTTGTTGGGTATTCTGAAATGCAACTCATCTAAGAGTGGATGTTTCCCTTTGCCAATCTTTAGAATAGTAACTTAGTGTCTTAACCTGCAAAGGTAAGCAAGGTGGTAGTGCTAGTGTTTTTGCCCCTCCTGGATTTTTACAAATAGCCCTTGTATCCCATTTATTCTTTTTGATCATTACGTTATCCCATCTTTGACTGTCAGAAGCTCCTCCCTTTTCTGGTCCCAGTGTTCCTATTACATGAGCAGAGTAGTGTTTCATGTTTTCCTTGCCTTCACAGTAGGATTTTCCAGATGCATTTTATTTTATTTTTATTTTTTATTTTTATTTTTTGGCAGAACTGGGTATTGAACTCAGACCCTTGTGCTTGCCAGGGAAGCACTTATTCCACTGAGCCATCTCCCTGGCCCCACAGATGCATTTTAAATGGAAGAACATTGTACAAATGATAACAACTCATTAACACAATATAGAATAGAAGATAAGGAACAACTGAGGATTTACAGAGTTTGGAAGGGATTAAGCAGAAATGACAACTGAATGCAATACGAAACCATCCTAGATTATATCCTGAACTAGAATAAGGATATTTGTGGAAAGTGGATGAATCCTAGAGAAAAATCTATAGTTCAAAAAATTACATTTCTACCCTGGTTGGATGGTATATACCTGTAGTTTCAGCACTTTTGAGGCTGTACATATAATTACAAGTTTGAGCCCAACCTGGGCAGTTCAACGTAACAAGACCCTGTCTCAAAGTACAGTAAAAAAAGGACAGTGGATTTACCTTAGTACACAAGCCCTGGGTTCCATGGTTCAATTCCCAGTACCTCAAAAAATAAATCCAATTTATATAAAGACTGTGGGATTTTTTTTGTTTTTTTTTTTTTAAATAATCTGGTTTATTTTGTATGGTTCTATGAGGCTTCCTTCATAAAGCAGTATTTGAACTGGAGAAAGGCAAGAAGAACGGGAATTGATGGGAAGGAATAACTCAGTTTTCAAGGCAGTATTGGGGATTGCTGCAGTGAGCTTCCAATCTCCTATCAGGTGTTTCAGCACAGCAAGAGAGAAACTAAAAATGGCAGTGCAGTGGGGACCTAGGATGACCAGTTGTTCATGAAGAATAAAAGGCCTCCAGGCAACTAGAACCTTGGCATCTATTGATTGAGGAGGGGATTTGAGAAGGAGATATCTATGACTCAAGGGTGGAGGTGATCTTGTGTAAGAAGGATCTTGCCGTAGAGTGTCTTTTAGTGGGTAGAAAAGGATGCCCCATTCCTAATGAAATAATGGAAAGTGTGCAAAATTAGCCATTAGAAATTTGTGGTCCCGACGTATCCCCCCTGCCCTTTTTTTTTTTTTCTTTTGTAATTGCAGCCATTGAAACAACATACAGGCTATACTGGCCATCATAGCAACAGGCATTCTCAGGAGTTTGTGTAAGATCCTGTCATGTCACAAGCATTCAAGCCTCCTGTTTCTTTTTTTTTTAAATTTGTCTCCATGTCATGGGTATTGTAGCCTCATGGAGCTCAGTACTTCTGATGTCAGATTTTTCTCTGTGGCCCTGTTTGAGAATGTTCACGCTGAAGGGCCAAAAGGAACAGGCTCTACCATGGAGCTGGGATGTTCTCTCCACAGTCACATGTTCCAGGAAGGTTGCCATGATTTTGATCTATTGTCCATTAACACAACTCCCTGACCCATGTGATTAACTGCAGTAGGCTATCCTGCTTTCCTGTTTGGATGTCTGTCTGTAAGACTTGAGCCTAGACATGTTTGTCAGATTTGTCCTTTGCCAGTGTTCTGATGGGAGGGTATTTACTTTCTGTAACTAGGTTTTAAAAATTGAAGGTAAAGTTAGCAAGATTTAATTGTGTGTGTGGAGGGAAGTAGTCATATTCTTCCTTTTTGTTTTTGTAATTGTGCTTCTAGCCACAGTTGTCTTCTGCACTAACCTTTCCAAGGCTCAGCCCTGTCTGAATGCCTACAATATTTCTAAATAATCTAGCTGTGTATAATATTTCCTCTCTGAAGAAGTGTCCCTAGCTGCAGTTGTGGGAGAATGGGGGTAGTTCTCATCTAGCTGCTTCAAGTTGAGCAGTGTTGGTGTAAGGACAGCCTCAGTCCAGGACTTTCTCCAGAGAGCTAATCTAAAGGACCCCAGATAGATGTTGTGGTTTTAACAATTATAGACACTCTTTACAAGGATTGATCTGGTGGGTCCCAGTAAAAGGAGTCTAGCACATTTGTCATTCAATCTGCATGATAACTTGGAGTTTGGCAGTCTCTAGACAAACATAAACAAATTTTCTGAGAAATTAGAGCATGTATAATCAAAGCATGAGCACTAAAATGGAAAGGGAGTTTGGGAAAGAGCCAAGTCTAGAGACTGTTCTTCAGGAACTGAAATAACAACTGTAACTTGATGGTTCTTTCACTCCTTTACTGACTGATAGAGGTTATGGATAAATCTGTGATTTTGTCATAAGTTTCCAGTTTAGCTATAAGATAAGGGGTTTGGTGCTTTTGAAGGACAATTTTAGCTAAAGAATTTTAAAATTCTTGTTGAACTTTTATACATTTTAGTATAGTTTTTATTAATGGTGTATAACAATGCCCAGTTACTAATATAGCTGGAAACTGTTAGAAGGGGTCAACAGTTGGTGCCCCTTTTTATATCTTCTTACTAAAGCATTGTTTTTATACATCTTTTTGTAGTACTTTTCTGCTGAGTATTTAAGGTCAAGTTAAAATGAGGCCTATGTTAATTAAAATTAACCTCTTGCTATCTATCAAGGTCAGTTAATTCTCAGAACTTACCTTGAAACCATAAACAGAGCTTCTCCTGCTCCTCTGAGTCAACCATCAGAGTCCTTGCCTCAAAATAAAAAGGAACTGTGGGTTTACCTTAGTAAACAAGCCCTGGGTTCAGTAGGTCAATCCCCAGTGCCTCGGGGAAAAAAATCCAATTTATACGAAGATTGTGTGGATTTTCAAAACTTCTTTCATTACGTATTTGTGTCTTTTTATATAGAACATTTATGTATCTCTTATTAATTTAATTCCTGTTTACTTTGTCTTGCATAGTATGTCCTGTGTAGTATTTACATATGAACAGTATATAAAATGTAATTTTAAAAGAACCTGACAACATTTACTTCTGAGAACAACCTAATGAGTAAGAGTTTTTGGTGAAGTTTTAGGGGTTTGTTGCAAATATTGTCTTATATATTTTAAATTTTCTTTCACAAAAAAGTTTTGTTAGCACATGGTTTGCCAATATTTTCATTACCAAATTGGTATGAAGAAGAAGCTTACTAATAAAAAAAAATTTTTTTGTAAGATGTACATTATGAGCAGATTTCTTGACATTACTTACAAGGGCCAACCAAATAGCTCAGCAGATTAAAGTGCCTGCAAACAGGTACAGGGGCTGGGGGTGCAATCCCTGGGCCTGCTGTGTGGTCCCCATTCCCTGGATGCACTGAGATTGCAATTGAGACTGGACATGGTGGTGTGCGCCTGTAATCCCAACTCTTAGGAGGCTGTAAAACAGGCGGATCACTATGAGTCCAGTCTAGTAGTGAGACCCAGAACACCCTGTAGACCCTTCTCTAAAAATACAAAAAAAAAAAGAAATTACTTACAATCTGGAAGACTGAGAAATTATTCTCTAAGTCTCAGAAATTATTTAAATTCTATGTCCTGGAAAACTTCAGGATTTTATGACATCTTCCAGTATCACTCTAAGAATCAGCCATAATATACCTGTACCACAAATGACCTGTTTGTTATCTTTGTCATTTTACAGCATCCTGAGGTTAACATTAAACTTCTACCAGTGGAGCCCATGACTTCTGATCAGGACACTAAAGTTGTGGCTGAACCGCAGACACAGAGAGTTCAAGAGGGCAAGGACAGCTCTCATCTGGTAGGTATCATTAGAAGGGAGGACCAGGGGCACTCATTTCTTTCTGTTGATGCATCTACATTGGACTTAAGAAGGTACATATTGAACTTAAGGATGTCAAAACAGTAATACTAAAGTATCAGGATCTATATACTATATAGCTGGTATGCTCTTGTAGAAGAAGTATTTTTTTGCTAATCCAAGGATCATAGTTGAGATCTCTATTATAAAAGACAGATAAACAAGAGAAAAGCATTTATTTAGCAATAAGTTTTTTGTGACATAGAAAATTTCAGAAATAGACATCCCTACCCCAAAACTATATTTATGTTAAGTCTGATACAGAAGGTGAGAGTTATGGAAGAACATGATTGGACAAGTAGGACATGATCTAATGATAATAAACTTGGGAGAACCTAGCAAGACTTGTGTGTTCAAGTTATTTTGTTTTGGTGTCCCTGTGTGACATTGCTTTCCTCTAGAGTTATAGTAAAACCCCTTAGAATGAGTATCTTATGACTGATTTTGAAGGGAGGGTCTGATGGGTTTTATGGCCCAGTTCAAGAGTGAGGGATAGGGGGAAATTCTAGTTTCAGTGTCCGACGTTGCTCTTCTCTCCCATTCTAAAGTACAGTGTTTGGTGTGCTCTGTCTGAAACTTCATCAATCTAAAGTAAGATTTGGATAACTTAGCAGAGGAAACTATTTCTATATACTAGATGATAGAGAAAACAAAAGGTAACTGTAACTATTTAAAGCTTTGTATTTTAAATCAAGAGAATACAGATATACATGTATACAATTATAGCCATCATAGATGAGAGTTAAATAGAATTTAAATTTTGTCTAAATTTACTTTGACAACCTATGTTCATTTTATCATGTCAAGAAGTAGTATTTAGAGTTTCTAAATAGCTTTTGGGAAAATAGCTTTTCTTAATTTTTCACCATTGAAACTGGTATAAGAATTCTAAAATCATAAAATTTAAGGAACCTAATTGTTTCCTTTTGAATATCTTATTTCTTTGTCTTATAAAAATTACATTTAATAGTTTTGGTTTTGCTTAATTACTGTGGTTTAAAATTAGATTTTTTTTTCCATAGTAGTGATGATGTCTTTGAAATTTCAATTTTGCAGATGAATGGTCCTATATCTCAAACCACTTCTCAAACAAGTTCCATCCCAGCTTTGAGTCAGGTAATTCATTTCTGTGATTAATCACAGGCTGTTTAATCACAATGGAGACTCACAGATACTTCCTTACAACTAGTGTTTATTGATTTTTTTAAAAAATAGAAATTATATATGTTTCTCAAAAAGGTGGTAGGGTCCATTTATCATTGTCTCCCGCCCCCACAGAACAGTAAATGTCAATTCTTTGTATCCTTTTCTGTGTTTGTGTACAGTTGACAGCAGTATTTTTTTATTTTCAAATATTCGCCACAATGATTTAATATTAAGCTGTTATACATATATGATGAGTTTTACATTATGACGGCCTGTGACTTTTAGAGCATACAAGTCAAATACTGGTAAAAACATGAGAACATCACATTATTGTTTTTCTTTTTGTTTTTTTTTTATAATCGTGTGATTTTACTTTATTTTTAGGGGGGGTTGACAGCTTTATTGCACTATAATTTACATACCATATAGTTCTCTCATTTCAAAACCTAATTTAGTGATTTTTAGTATGTTCCTAGAGTTGTACAGCCATCACCACAATCAATTTTAGAACATTTTCATCTTCCCCCTAAAGAAACTACCAATTACCAGTCACTCCCCATTTCCCAAAACACTCCTAGCCCTTGACAGCCATCAATCTATTTTCTGTCTCTATGGGGTTGTCTACTCTGGATATGTCATATAAGTAGAATCATACATTATTTAGTCTTTGTGACTAGCTTCTCACTTAGCTACTATTTTCTTTTTTTTCCATAATTTTGTTGACAAATAACAATGAGACAGTTTCAAATCAAATTAGTAGGACAGTTTCAATAATAAACACATTGCATACTGTCTTCCTAGTGGTTATTTGCTGTACAAGATACAGACATGATATTCTATTTACAATTACTATTAGAACAAATCCCTCTATTCATTAAGAGAATGTAACTATATATCCTAATCATTTTGAATACACAGATACAAAATGGACATTCATTATATATCCTCTTTTTTGTTTAGTTCCGTCATTTGAATATTATAGATGTGTTAACTCAGCAAAATATTATTATTATTATTATTTTTTTTTAGCAAAATATTCTAAGGATTT